AGCTATGGAATTCTTCTGTATGGTGGAAACTGTTGGATGGGTGCTCCTTTTCCTAAGTCACCCTTCTAAGCATACTTGGGCTTTTCAAGCCACGGTGATGGCATCTTGTCAAACATGACCATGAGGGCTGAGTCACTGTGGGGCCCCTTTGCCACACAAAGCACGGTCCTTCCATAAAATACCGCTGCAAACTTTAACTGCCAATACTGATGATTGTAATACACATCTGTACTTGTTTAACACTCAGAATACTTAAATGTGCCACATGCTATTTTGTAACCCCTCTGTGACAATAGAGGTACACAATATAATTGTAAAATGCTAGGTATGTAAATCACTACTACCCTCATTACATAGGAGGGAACCAAAGCTCAGAGATGTTACACCACTCTCCTAAGACCACACATCTCATAATAGGCAGAGTCGGGATTTGAACCCCGGCAATCTGGACTTAGCTCTGCACCCTTACCCACTGTACTACACTGAAAAGTAGAGCTAAGGAAAGAAGGACTGGGACAGGCAGGTGCAGGCCCTGGGTCAGGCTTCTACTGATGTCACACACACTGACACACGTTCTCCACTTTATCCTCTCCAGAAAAGGACCTGCCACCTCTGCAGGGTTTGAACCTGCTCAGCAGAGGCTGCCCATGACCTGCACTGCTCAGATTTTCATCCCTGCCTTGTTGTAAGTTCACTCCCTCCAAACCCTGGTCCTGCCCTGAGTGTCCATGGCCTGCGGATTTTAATTCCATCCTTGAGTCACCCTTCTTAGCCGATGGGGCCAGGACCGGCCCACCAGGCACCCTGCCTGTGCATAGATTTGCCAAATCACACTCCCTCCCAGAGGACGAACCCACCTCCTTGGTGACCACGTGGTGCCCTGAAGGCCTCTTGCAGGCAAGGCCAACACACACTCATGTGGTGACATGGGCCTCAGCTTCCTACCACCACTGGGGTCTCAGATGTTACTTTGATGAAGTAATTGCTACAAGGACAGGTACCTGTGTCCTAGGAAGCCGATATTAATAGCTGCTAATATTTGGAGGTTTGGGGCATGTTTGCTTGGCTTGGCTTTTTATACAGTAGGGTTTGTTTTGGTTTTTGTTTTCTGCTGGAAAAATACTTGTAAAACCAGGTACAGGTCCCAGGCAAGAGGGGTTGGCTGTCTCCCAACACAATGCCCTATCCCAGTGAGATGGGACCCCAAGGACTTTCCCCTTCTGCCCTCTACGAGCAAGTTCCTGAAAGGAACATTTCCAACCTGCCCTTCCTCTCTCTGGTTTTGGGATAGGGCCAGGAAGGAGCTGTGTTTCCTAGCCTCCTTGAGTCTCCTGAAGCCTGGGCTTGTCTACACAGCTTGAGTTCCACCCTGCAAAGCCAGTTTCACTTCTTTCAGGAGATTTTTCTGGCCCAAGTTTCCAGTGCTGATGTGGATAACTGTGTCATTGGCATAGCCAACTAGGCCCGGGCTCCCTGTTGACCCTGGGGCAGGACAGCTGGGGGTGGCTGTGCTGGTAAGGGCTGGTGAGGGGGCACTGCTCTCCAAGCTCCCTATCCTGCCTGGGCAGGTCATTCCCCATTCATGCCCAGCTTATGCCATACAGAAGTGGGGGAAACGGAGAAATCCCTTAGGTTCTTAGGATGTGCCCTGGCACCTAGGAGGTGAATCACTTCCTTACTGCCTGGCTTCCTATCAGGGGACAGTAAATGGCAGCAGGGGTGGGGGTACTGTTCAACCCCAGTACCCTGCGGGGATAGCTGCCTAAATGGAGGAGCAGTGGCCACAGGGACCCTGAGGAGACTGATTCTGGAATGGGGGGTGCTGCTTCCTGCCCTGCTGGCTCAGGGAGCCACCCAACCTGTACAGCAAGGACCCAAGCAGGGCCAGGTGCAGAGTAAATAATCCCAGCTCGGCTTCCCATCTTCTGAGGAGCTCAGCCAGGCCGCCCACTCCCAGCACCTACAGACCATTGTTTTCTTTCTCACCTGTGCTGAGAGAGCTGCACACCTGGAGATGTGGGCAGGTGTGCAGGGCCACCCATGGCCAAAGGACAGGCAGGGGCCCCAGGGAGCCCTGCTGGAGGAGGTAGAGACCCTGGCTCCAGCTGGTCTCTGTACCCTGCAGGGTCTCTTCCTTCCCCTTTGCTCCCTCAGGGCTCCCCATCCAGTGCACCCCAGCAGTGCAGAGCCCTGCTGAGGATACAGTGCTACAGGATCCCTCTCTGGGCCCAGGAGCTCAAGAGTAAAATACAAGTGAATCAAGCATGGTGGTGCACACCTATCGTCTCAATACTTGGAGGCTGAGACAGGAAGATCACCATGAGTTTGAGACCAGTGTGGGCTGCATGTGAGTTCAAAGCCATCCTGAAATACATAAGGCGATCTGTCTCAACGACGCAAGTAAAATGCATGGTGTCAGCAGGAGGCAGAGCACCCTGCATTTGTGACCACCTGAAAACTTCACACCTTATTATCTCCATTTTACATTGAACAGATTGAGGCAGACAGAGGTAAGGTAACTGCCCAAACACCAGAGATGGATTTGAACCTAGGCCACAGGTGCCTCTGGGCCTCCCTACAGCCAACCCTGTAGGACGAGGGCTCCACCTGCTGAGCATTTGAGGAACTGCTCCACAGCCTCCAGGGCCTTGTAGGGGGTGCTGTGAGGGGAGGGGTCAGGTGGGCTGGGGTCTTTCCCCAGCCTGTGTGGTCGGCCCTCTTGGCTTTGTGAATCCTTTCAGTGTCCTTGATTTCATGCTGTCTGCCAACAGCCCTTCAAGGAGAGGCCAGGCAAAGATAAGGATCCAGTTTCAGAGGAGGAAACAGCCTAAAGGAGGTGACTCAAGATGCAGATGAGGAAACAGCCTAGGGAAGCAGTCCAAGATCCCAGGATGTCAAGGGTAAAGTGAAGAACAACTCCCAGGCTCCCCACTGGGTATTTACCCTGTGAGCCTGGTACCTCCGCCTCTGTCTGCTCCAAGACCAGCGGTAACCCAGCCTGGAACCACTGTGTAAGACACCATGACATGCCTGGGCCTGCAAGCCCTAAATGGAAAAAGCCAAGACTCTCAGTGGCCTCCCAGCAGCTGGCAGAGCAGGCACGCAGGCTGGCCATCAGCTCTTGATTGGTGCAATGGGCAACTGCGGAGTGGGTTCCTTCTGCTCCCTGGCCGTCCACAGCATGCTCACAATACACATCAAGAGGGCAGCCTGCAGGACCCAGAGGGGCTCCACAGGTATGAGGGAGAGAACAGGGTAGGCAACACAGTCCCCTCCACAGGAGAGTTTTAGTAGCCAGCCCAGCATGGGGCACAGAACTAGAGACCAACGCCATGCCCAGCTAGGGCTGAATTTGTCACTGCTGGCTCCACTCCCACCAGGCTGTGAATGCCCAAGAGGCAGGCCTAGGCCTTTCTGCCTGGATCCCAGCATGCACCCAGCACTGAGTAAACACCTGTGGGAGGTGGTCTTGACAGGTGACAAACAAAACAACCCCATTCGTGAGCTTGCACAGTGCTAGGAGCTTGCTAGGTATGAGGTCACCCCGTAGAGCCTTGGATATGAGAATTCAGCCCAAACTCAAAAGGTCCAAAGACACAATGTATTCCAAAGCCTAACCCCATGTACAGATGAGCAAATCAATCCCCAAGAACAGGAGAAACTGGAGAAACTGGTAAGAGTCACATAGAAGATCCACGCCCAGGCTGCCTAAGAATAGTGTTGCTCTTTCTTCCCCTGGCTGTGCACGGGAACAAAGGAGTTCATCCTCCAAGATGGACCATGCCAGGCAGAACCTGGTTCCAGAACCAGGCAGAACTTTCCTGGCAAGCTGACTGAAGGCCAAACAGGAAGGTCAACTTCTTATCATGGTGGCAAATCTGTCCTTCAAAGTCATGTGGTCTTTGTTCCCAACAGAGAAGCACTGTCACCCAGAGTCCAGGACATCTCTCTGGTATCTGGGTCCTTGGCAGATGGGACACTGGCTCACACTGCCTCTGCCCAAAACCTGCCTAGCCTGGTGGGTCTCTCTACCCAGACTGTCACCTACAAGGTGGCCACAGTGACCTACAGTGGGGAGGCCTTCCTACCCTAGCCAGCCATCCAATGGCCTGCCTGGAGGGATCACTGGAGGGAGTAGGCCATCACCCCAAAAGCCATCTCTATCTCTCAAAGGGCCCTTCTCCACTCCCAGTGCCCACTGGGCCCAAGCCCTGCACAGCTCTCACAAGGATCCATAGCAATCAGTTCACCAAGGGAGCTATTTCGCTCACAGATGTTCAAATTTTTAAAAATTAATTAGCATCCCCTACAAATTAAGAGATTCCACATCACATTCTGAATTTGTGGATTTTCTTGAAAAAAATGAGACATCCTGTATCATGGTAGGTCCACATTCCTGCCCACCATAGTCAGCCAGGGTTGGACACGGTGATGCTGGAGGACAGAGGGATCTCCCCGACCACAATCCCCAGAGAACAAGGACCACCGTCTTACATACACTTGGCCCACATCACTCAGGCATCTGCCAGCCTCCTAAAGGGAGGGAGGTGTCAGCCACAACCTTGCTTTTAAATGCTAGATTCACAAAAATCTATACTTACAAAACTAATTTACGGGCCTACAAGGAGCAGGATAGCTCAATGGTAGACCATATGGCTAACTTGCTCAAGGCCCTGGGTTCCAACCCCAGTATCAAAATCGTTTATAAGGCAATTCTAATTTTTATAAATGGTTTTCACTGAAATTTTTTTATTTCCTCGAGGTAGCTTTTTGGTGTACTTAAGACCATACTGACCTCATTAAAATCCATTCACTCATTTGATTTAGACAACACACTGATTTCAGCTGCAGGGCCAGGCTGTCTGTAAGGAGCAGGCAGCAGTGGCTCACCTAGAATATTCCCAACCCTTCTCTCACCCTAGAAGTCGTTGCCTTGTGATCAGCAACCACATCCATCCTGCCTTCCCACGTTCCTGCCTCTCGGGAATGGGACAGATCAGCTTCTCCCTGGTTCAGAACTGCTTCCCTGCAAGAGCTGAAGGGTCCCTCACAGACAGCACCCTCTTATCTAGCATTGCAAGCTCCTGGGAGACTCAGCCTCACAAATCTGTGTCAGCATTGGGAAGGCACTGGGAACTTCAGATGCTCCACGAAGAAAGCTCTCCTGGTCAAGGGGCATGTGCTGATGGGCCTTGGAACACTACTAGGAATGAATCCAGCCCCAGCACAGAGTGGCCAGGCTGGTCCTGGAGCTGGCAGCCTTAACCTTCCAAACACACTGCCCCTCCCTGCATGACAAGTGTCCTACTTCCCAATCCTCCCCTACTGCTGGGACTCACAGGCTCTCCTGGAGTCAGAGTCCTACCACTCATGAATTTGGGGGGCCCTTCCTCACAGATTTCCATGTCCTTCTACAAGCCTGTCCCATTCCTCAGGAACTACTCTGTGTCCTCCCACATCAGGGCTCTGCTTTCTGACTCCAGCAGGTTCTGATCAGCTCCTCCATGGAAAGAGGTGGTTTTCAGACTTCAGCCCATGTTGAAATCCTCAGGAGGGCTGTGCATAAACTGCTGGTCTCATCAGTGGGCTGGAGACCTGATAATCCGCATATCTAAGCAGGTTATCATTCAGTGCTGCTGCTATTGGTGCAGGGAGTCCACTGAGAGCCATCCAAGCACTTTATAAGGTGCCTTGTTGGGTACAGATGGACAATGCTCAGCTGGGGGAACTCTGGCCTGTGCACCTGGTTCGGGCAGGAAGCGGGATTTGCACCGATTAGGGATGTACCCGCTGCCGATCTAAGGCAGGATCTGTCACTGGTGTTCCTTTTGTTTCTCTCAGTAAGTATTTTCTTGGTCATTTAACTTAAAATCAATTCAACCTGTTTATTTGTTGTGTATCTATTAAGATTTTGTTTTTACAAAAGATTTTTTATTTAGTTACAATGATGTCTTTCTAGAAATATATTCATTTAAACTAAATTGGCATAAAGTTGTTAGTAATATTCCCTTATAATTCTTTTCTTTACAAGTAGTAGCAATAGAAATTTTTGTCTTACTGCTTTTCTAGATTTTATTTTACAAAAGTCCAATCTTTGCTAAGTGTTTTTTTAATTTTATGACTCTTAAACAAAGAACTAACTTTTGGTTTCACTGATTTTCTCTGTAGTTTGTTTCAATGATTTTCACTCTAATCTTTTACTATTCCTACCTTCTGTTTTATTAAGGTAGAGTTTGTTCCTTAATGGTTTCTTAGATTGTAATATTAGGTTACTGATTTATTCCTTCTTTTCCAATATAGGCACTTAAAACTATATAGTTGCATTTAACAAATTTTGATACGTTGTTCTCATTAAGTTCAAACTATTTTTATATTTCTATTGTGATTTATTCTTTGACCCATGGGTTCCAAAGTGTGTTAAATTTGGGGTTTTCATTTGTTTTTCTTCGTTTTTGTTTTTTGAAACAAGGTCTCAGTATACAATCACTGGTCTATTAACTCATGATCCTCCTGCTTCAGCCTCTCAAGTTCAAGTTCTGGAATCACAGGTATACCTCCCTGTGCCTAGTTCCTGGTGTTTTCCTTCTGGTAATGATTTCTAATTGTGGATGGTCAGAGAACATACTTTATGTGAAGTATGTTTATACTGCTAGGTATGGTAGATATTTCTAATTCTTTTTGGTAGGTATTTTATATAATTCTACTGGTCAGAGAAAACATTATGTATGACTTCAGTCTTTTACAGTTTAATGAGACTTGTTTTGTGGTCTAGCAAAGATCTATTCTCAGGAAAGTTTTGTGTGATTTTTTAACCAGCACAGATTATCACTGTGCTGGTTTTTGGTACCTGCTCGGACTAATCCTGTGACTCCTGCCACCTCTACAATGTGCAAGTGCTGATCTCTCTGCTCAGTGGGTTCTTTTCTTTCTGCAGAGCTTCTCATTCAACCAACTACTGGTCAGCGACTGTAATCACACAGCTCTGACACCTAAAATGGTTCTCTCTCTGTGTACAGATCCATGTGTGGGCTGGAGGCATGTTCAAAGCTGAAGCTGCTTTCGTGTTTGCCCCAGTTTTTACTTTCTTCTGGGTCCTCCCATCTCTTCTGCCCACCTGCACTGCCCTGTCCAGAGATAAACGGGAGGTCTAGACCTCTCTGGTCTGTACTACTTACACACAGCCTCCATGGCCCATGGATTATGTCATGGATTCTGTCTGCAACCTCAGTTTGGCAGGGTCACCTTCCCTTCCTGTGTGCTTGTCTTTTTAACTCACAACACTGTAAATTGAGCTTTCCCAACCTCAGCACTACCGCCATTTGGGACTAAATAATTTTTTATCATAGGAAGGTTTCCTTGCTATCAGACGTTTAACAGAATTTCTGGTTTCTACCCACTAGATGCAATGGCACCCCTCCCGTTGTGATAACCAAAAGAATGACTCTAGACATTGCCAGATGTCTTCTGGGGAAGAAAAAAAAATCGCACCTGGGTAAGAAATACTGATCCAGAGTTCATCAGTTACAACTGGGAAGAAGTCTCATTTTAACAACAACAAAAAATCTATCATCCATGATACAGAACTAGCAGATTCATGCATAACATGTTTCAAAGTTCAAGAAGCGCACGTCTCCACTCAGTGCACCTACTTGCTCACCCAGTATGTGAAAGCAAATCACAAGCCACTCCCCACCCTTCACATAAACAAAATTAAAATAACCCAATAATCTGCTAGCAAACAGTAGTGCTGCCTGAACATCGGCTATGCCCATAGCTCCTTAGTCCATTGGATCTGGGATCAAGTCAGGAGAAGAATAATTAACCAAACAGAGCAGTGCTAGCAGTGGCTTTCTGCAGAGCCATTCTCATTTGTGACACAAGACATATTGTACTCAGATGGCTGCAGGCAAGGGCTGCCTAGCTCATATGGGATGACATCTTTGCTTGTCATGTGTGGGAGACAGAATGGCCCCCAAAGACGTCCACATCATAACTGTCAGAACCCATGAGTGTGAAACGGCAAATGGAACTCGGCAGGTGTGACAAGCATTCTGAGATGGGGAGGTTTCCTGAATTATCCAGATGGGCCCGATGTAATCCCCAGGGCCAGAAGAGGAAGGTAGGAAGATCAGAATTGGAGAAGATGAGAAGACAGAAGCAGAGACTGGAGTGATGGGGGCCATGAACCATGAAATGAAGGTAGCTTCCGGAAGCCAGGAGATAGAAAATGAGATTATACCCAAGGCCCTCTAGAGGGAGGTAGCTCTGGATTTCAGCAGCGAAGCCCCTCCTCTATACTGTAAGTAGCATATTTCTATCATTTTACATCTGCAGTCATTACTACGGCATTGCTTGGTCACCAATTCTACCTTTTACTGTCTAGTAGGGCAGTAATAGTGCCACATGAAACCTGAGTGCTGAGGAGCTGCAGGGATCTGACTTCTTGTGATAGACTCATCCAGGAAGAAAGCCGAGTAAGAGCACTCACACTAGCGCTGGCAGAATTAAATGAAGCCACATGATGTAAGCTGCTTGGCCTCGGTCTCCTCGCTACTCACCTTCTTGCTGTGTCTGTGGCAGAGCTGAGGGGCACTGGGGGACAGGCTGTGCCATGCGGAGGACATCATCGGCCTCCCACTGGGCACCATGTTGACCTCAGTCATCAGAATTAGCACATTAGGGTTGTATAATATGAGGAAGCTTCAAGAGCCCACGATTGTTCTCTGACAGGCCAACAGGCCTCTGGGTAGGTATCTGGCTTCTGTTCTCCTGGCACCTTTGTGGTCTATACCCCAGAGCTGGAAGCTGCGTGCAAGGGAGGTGACTCAGCGGCCCTGGCTCAGGACGCACACTGCAGTGGGTGCGTGTAGGCAGTTAATTAGTGCTCAGCCAGAAATGCCCAGAATGCACCAGGCTTTGGCAGGGATGAGCTGGGGTGCACCTGGGTGAGGTGGAGGGTGCACAGAGGACTACCTCAGCCTCAGCATCTGTTCCCGACACTGTAATTGGGCAGTACAAGAATACTGCACAGCTCAAAGAGGAACACAAAAGCAAACTTCTGAGCCCACTGACAAAAGCAAAAGGCTTTTATTTTGGCCTCCAGGATTGGTCCACAGGCTTGAGCCTGGCTTGACCAACTGACTGGGAGACACTTTCCCTAGGATTCCCCTGCATCAGGCACAGCTTGTACTCAGTCACAAGGCTTCCGGAAGCTACCTCCATTTCATGGTTCATGGCCCCCATCACTCCAGTCACAAGGTTGTACTCAGTGTCCACATGATAATACCACAGCCTCATCTTTGCTGGACAGATTCTCCACCCGCCCCAGAGCTGATGTGAGTGCTAGCACATGTGCAAACAGGCAGAGTGTACAGGGTAACACTCCATCACCTCTCATCCAGTGCACTATGCCCTCATCACTGAAGTAGTATGCTGGTTCCCCATAACCCTGAGATCTTAAAGGTCTTAAGACGGTAACATGACCAGCCAAGTGTTCAATGTACATTTTCAAAGTCATACATAAAAGTTACACCTGACACAACACACATCATCATAAGGCAGAAACATTCATCTGGGCTTAGTAATAAACTTTATTTGTATATCAAATTCACAGTGTTAAGATACACATACTTCCTCCTCTCCTCGGTCCTGCCTGTGAATAAGGCATTTTCCTATCATATGAGCTTTTGTTCTTAGGGCGCTGGGGTTAAGAACCAGTCACAAGGCCTAACAAGGCAGCCTGGTAGTTAACCTAGGTCTCCAGGTCTCCAAAGCTCTTCCCCGTCCCTTGGATTACTGAGTTTGCTACCATTTGCTGCTTCTGCCTACAGGCAGCTCCCCTGGCAGTACCTCGACAAAGCATTGAAAGCTGAGTGCCACTTGGTCCTCACTTTTCAGGACTCTAGAGACAGCTTCCTTCCTGCAGCTCCTACAAGCAAATGGTCCTTGAAACAGCCAGGGGGCTGCCCTGAGGAAGCCTCAGCCACACTGGCGATAGAGATTATAATCCAAGTCCTGGCTCCTAGATCCTAGGCAAAAGAGCTCAGAAACAGGAAACAAGTGTGTGGCTAGCTACCCACTGTGCGTGTTTAGTTGGTATGTTGTAGTCCATGTGATTACATTCATCAAACGGGGCGTACCCATGTGCATGACAACTCTCAATTCCTTTTTTCAACCTTCTCCCCTTCTTTGATTTTTGGGATACATATACAATTTTTTAAAATACACTTTAGTGCATGATCACACCCCTCAGTTCCTCGTAGGGTCTTGGTACAAGAACACAGCATTTCACAACCCCTCCCTTTATTATTAACCTTTTTCCTTCCCCTTTCCTCTTTCCATCCCTTTCCTATAGGCCAAAGATCCATCTTGCTATTTCCTACTGTCTATTCACTTTGCACTTCAGCTATATATTGGGGTTCTCGTGGAAGAGAAACCGCGATATTTAAACTTGTGTCTGCTTTATTTCACGTAACATTATGGTCTCCAGGAGCATCCATTTTCCTACAAATGACTCAGGTTTGTCCTCGGCATAGTAGTAGTACTCCATTGTGTATAAATACATTTTTTTATTCATTCATCTTCCGATGCAAATTTAGGCTGTTTCCAGATTTAGCTATTATGAACTGTGCTGCTATAAACATGAGTATCTGCCATTGTAATACGATGTCTTAAACACCTTAGTGAAGATACCTAGTAAGGGAACAGCTGGGTCAAATGGAATTTCTATTTGTAGGTTTTTAAAGATTCGCCATACTAATTTCCATAGTGGTTGTAGTTTATATTCCCATCCACAATGAAGGCTTCCTTCCAGCCTTTTCAGAATTTGTCATTGCATTTCTTGGACACAGCCCTTTTTTGGAGATGGAATCTCCATTCATTTCTGTTTTTGATTGGGTCTCTGTATTTGAGGGGATCTAATTTTACTGTTTTTCATATTTTCTAGGTATTCGTCTTTAATCTGATTAGCTGACAAAAACTTTCCCAATTCCATGGCTGTCTCTTCACTGCTGTCTACTACACATTTCTACACACACACACGGTCCATCCTACAAAAGCACCCATGGGATCCAGTGCAGAGGGACTCTTAAAACCACTCTTCAAAATAAAACAGACCTTCACCTAGTAGTACATTCAGGTGAATTTGTGGCAACATTCAGAGATCTGAACTGTACACACAAATCTGTTGTCTGATTGGCTTTGTTCTTTTCTGACCTGGATTTCTCTTTAAAATATAGCCCATCAGAAGAGTGAAAACTGGAAATACCACTGTTATAACAGCTTCAAATGAAAGAAGTCAAATGAAATCCCAAAAACCAGTTACATTAAAACTTGCTTCTTGTTAGGTGTAGTCTGCTGCCCATCTGTCCAGGAATCTGTGCAGAGCTCTGAGGAGCAGCTCAGGTGGCCCTGCCCAGGCAGTCCCAGGTGCCCCCGCAGGCACAGGTGTTGGGAGGTGCAGGTGGCCACGTAGCTGCCCGTAGACCTCTCTTCCCACCTTCAGTTTCTTCTTTCCACCAGCACTTTCCCATACCAACTGAGAAACACTGGCTCGTATTCTTGTTCTTCAGCAGTGACAGGACGCAGAGGCTCAGAACTCAGACCATTCTGCCTCACTGTACTTCGGATGGCATTCGGAGCCAAGCCAGACCCTTGGATGGTTCTGTTTCAGGCCAGGACTGGTGAGCATCCTCAGACTCAGCGGTGAACCAGGCCACACCAAGCAACCTCACACAAACTACACACAATTGCATGTGTAAGCCTATGCATACTAACACACACACACACACACAATAAAAGCCTAAGAAAATTTTGCCTAAGAATATAAAATGAGGAAGCATGATGAAGAATGTTAACAAATGCAACGTTTGATAGATAAAAGAAAAAAATGAGTTTATATGAGTGGAGAAAGCTTATACACAGCTGGGCATATCTGAGGATCTGCACTAAGAACATTATTAAAACTCACACCAATTTTATAAAATACATTGTATTTATTTTGGAACAGAATATATTAGTAAACAAGCCAATAATTTAGCTTAATTAGAAATTATAATGTATAATTTAAGATATTAAATGCAAACTCCCAAATTTAAATTGTAAGAAACTTTATGTTTGATTATTCTGTTAGAACCTCAGTTTAAGGGGTTTATTCCCAAAGTAGGCCAGTGATTGAATTAGTGACTCCTCAGACCATGATAAAGACACAACATACTTTAGGCAGACTTAACAGAACAAATTATTCAACAGTGGATTTTACATTCAATGAAGTGAGTTACAGTCTCTCGCTGAGTAAGGCCCAAAGTCTCTCTCCAAGCCTGCAGAGGGGAACAGAAGTCCCTGCAGTCTAAAGCACAGCGCTGTCCAGCAGAGGATGCCATGTCCTGCGGGCCCCCTGGCACTCCCTCAGGTCTTGGCCATATCAGGCTTTGGTGGGAAGAATTTCTTACTTGCTCAGGAGATCCTCTCACCATTCTCCTTCCTTTTCAGTTTGGCCAACTGAATTATGGTTATTCTCCAAATTTCTCCTCATAAGCCAGCGCCTCCGTGCCCCATGAGGCTCTTCAGCCACAAAGCCCTACTACCCATGGTCTCTTTATCTGTGACAGGAATGACGCCCCCACTAGGCTGATTTATACAGAAAGCGATCTTTTTGAAGTTTAAAAGAGTAAAACTGACTTGCATTGTGCTACAAAAATGAGAAACTTGAAAAGATTTGTCCTTGAAAACCTACTAACTTATAACTTTAAGGTCCTGAGAGACAAGTGTTTTTATAACGACTTTTATTAAAGCACTTGAAAAATTCAAGTTAGGTTGTAAAACATGTATAAGTGTTGCTTCAACACCATATGAGTAAGAGACAATATGTGCATGAAATAGGCTAAGATCTTCTAGGAAGCCTAATGATTTATACGATGCTTTCAGTGCTACTGGTCACAAAAAATATCTGTGAACAGCCACACCAAAAACCTTCCAAGTGACAGAGGAGGAAAAAGGAAGAAGACCAAGTCTGCCTAGAGAGCCAGGTTCGGGAGGTCAACTCTTCAAGTCTCACTGGCGAGGGGCAACCCCTAATATCCTACATTTCTTAAACTGAGACAGTATCTCACTATCTATAGCTCAGGCTGGTCCTGAACTCACTATGTAGCTCAGTCTGGCCTTGAACTCACAGAGACCGTCCTGCCTCAGGCTCCCAAGCACTGAGATTACAGGCATGCGCACCACATCCAGACGTGACAAAAATGATTCCTTCATGTTACATTTTGTGGGCTAAATTTATTCAGAAAGACTATTTCTGAAATTAAAAAAAATTTAATTGTACTCTACAGAAATGAGAAAAAAGATTTGTCTTTGAAGAGCCACTAACTTGCAACTTAAAGACCAACTGCAATGCCTCAGACCTCAGAGGGAGCTGGGCAGCTCCCACCTCACTTCTCTGCACTACCATCACTGGGGTCCCTGGAAGTGTTCAGCTCTTGAAAGCTTCGACAAATAATGGCACCGCACAGCAGGTGATGAGGTATCCGACAAACTGGGCCCTACGAACTCAGCAGTTCTGAGACTTCCGTATATGCCCAAAGAATATGGATTTTATTTCACACTCATTGCCTCCCAGCACAATCAAGATCAGGGCCTCAGAATACACTCATTATTAGGAAATGCTGAGATGTGGCTGAAATGGGAAGTTTTATTAATGGCGAGTGGCAGTAACCTTTAGGTTTGATCATACTGAGTTCACTTATTTCTGATTTTGACACCATTTAAAAATTACTGGTTCATTAACCACTGAGTATAGAAATAATTCAGTAGAGGCAACTAGGAGGTTAACAGGATCATTCTTTAGTAGTACACAACCTGGGAGAGAGAAAAAAAAGAGATCCAGGTTATTCTATTGATTTAAAAACACAGCCAACACCAACGGTGAAACAGGCGCTGAGCACAGGGACTCTAGCAAAGACACGTTTGCTAAGACAGTCTGAATGCACTACAAAGAAAAGTAGCGTACATATACCCCTGAAAGGTCTAAGTGTGTTATGACCTGGAAACCAAGGATTCTGCCCTTCCTCAACAATAAGAATACAGATAGTGATGGAGGCCACATTCTGTCCAAAGTCAGTGAGATAACATCAGGCCAGAGATGGGTTAAAAATACACTTTTACCATCCTGGCACTGTAATTAGGAAGCTAAAGTCTCCACACGATTTTGGAAAACTGCTAAACAAATCTGCAAAATTCAGAAGTGGTAATCCACCTGACTACAGCTGGTGAAATTTCACTGCAACCTCAGAGGGCAGCGGTCTTTTCTGTCAAGAGGCCAGTGACATTTACCAACTTTAACCCGCGATGGTTCTCCACCTTTTAAAACCCAGACCACGGAAAACGTTTTCCCGTAGACTGTAAGTTTTATAAGAACTTTACTCTGTGTATTTATGTCCCAAAGCCATTCTAATTCTTGGAAATTCATAAAATTATAATCACTGCTGGGGGTGTAGCTCAGTGGTAGAGCACTTGCCTGGCATGCAAAGGCCCAGGTTCAATCCCCACCACCACTGAACAAACAGATCCAAACACATAGCAAAATAAGTAAACTATGAAGTATAAAAAAGCCACTACAGAAAAAATATTCATAATTATAAGTTGGCCCCTTGAACTATCTCATAATACTGGAAGAAAGAATCTAAGATGTTCACAACAAAAAGAGCAATGATAACCGTGTGAGGTGACAGACATGCCAGTTACCCTGCTGTCACTGCAAGCTGTATACAGGTGCACTATATCCCATGACTGCAGACAATTAGCCTGTATCAATAAAACACATTTCTAAAAAGACTGAATAAATACATAAATCTAGATTCAGTCATTTACTTAAAATAAAAAGTGGTTTCATAAAAAGATTAAAAGCTTAGAGAAATTAGCAGAAAAGAAGCAAAGAAAAACAAATCTGCATATGGTCCCAGAATGAATAGGGGAAAAATATCAACAACATAGACATCAGCTAACAATGCAAGAGGAGAGGAGAGCCGAAAGGGACCTGAGACATCCCTGACCCCACCCTCATCTGCAGCTAAAGCCCAAGTGACTGCTCAGAAGGGTCTGACGCAAAGTCACAGTCAAGCCAAGAATCAAACCTCCATATTTTTGTTGCCAGCTAAGTGCTGTTACAAAATGTGACTTCTCCAGGCCCTAGAGGGAAAGGCCCTGTTTGCCAAACTCCACAGAACTCGGCTTGCCTAGCACAGTTCACTGCACCTAATAGGCTTAACATGGACTCAGCCCCATCTCCCACACTGTCCAGGGGGTGTGTATCAAGCCACAAGATCAGTGTCTCCAGACAGGCCAGCAATGATGAAAGACCTAATAGTGCCTCCAGTCACACCCCACCCTCATGCAGATGGACAGCAGGAAGCTCCTGAGCTCACACCAGGCCTTCTGTTTGCCTCCACGAATTCCCAAGTCAATTTAAAAAAAAAAAAAAATCAAAACAACAGAGATTTTTAAAGAGCTCATTGTCTAAATGGCTACTCTGGATCTGAACTGGCTGGCACTTCCTCCAGCAGAGCTGAGTAGATGAGGACCAGGAAGGAGACTCCACACAGCCATGCATTGTCTGGAAGTGCTGCGGGGCTGCCACACCACTAGCCCTGCACGTTTGTCTCACATTCTTAGCAACTCACTCTCCTCCCCCACTCCGCCATGAGTAAACTGAACTTTAACACTGACACTCTGGGCCAAGGTCAGAAATGTCTACCCACAAATGAATTAAACATTCTCAGGTTGAGTGTGGTATGCACGCCTGTATTCCCAGCACTCGGGGAGGCTGAGGCAGGACTGCTGCGAATTCAAGGCCAACCTGAAGTGCATAGTGAAACCCTACCTCAAAGAGACAAAAATAAGTAAGTAAGTAAGTTAAACAGTCTCTGTTTCTGTTTTTTGGGGTTTTTCTGGAATGATCCCTCAGCCTGTACAGCTGTATAAAAACAAATTAAAATAAATAACATGCCCCAAAGTGGCCCATCTTACACACAGAAAAAATAAATAAATATACAAACAAACAAGGAGTTCCTACCTCACTCTTAACAGACAGAGCTGGGTTTTGAAACTTCCTGTCCATCATTGTTTACTGGACCAAAGCCGTCTGTGAACTACCAGAGAGAGCAACTGGGCCTTTGTCCTCAGCACAGCTTGGTATCTCTGAGAAAACCCAAATGATTTCAGATGCACCCAGAACCTCCAATTCCATATAACCAAAGCTGTAACACCGTAAGTCCAGCCAGCACCCTCTCAAATTTTAAACAAAATTTACAAGTTATTTCCATCGCATATTTGTTTCCTCCCTCTCCCATGTCCACTCTTCACTGATGTTGTCAACACTTTCTATGGGTCTCCTCAGCCCCCGGCTGGCTGAGGGCTCCTAAAGCATTCCACTTTAATTTTCATTTTCACAGAGCTGCTAGAGATTTATAAACTGCAGAGAGAAGGCAACTCTCACAAGGGCCTCTTTGGAAGCCCACTTCTATAATAAGCAATGACCAAAGACAAACTATCTCACAGCCAACTTTGGAGGAAACACTCAAGCCAAATAAAATTTCCCTCGCCAAAGTTGTTTCACCACTCTTCACCAACCACAGGACTCTCTCCACCATCCCCACAACATGCTGATTACGTGTGCATGCAAGGAAAAAACCTAAAAGCTAGCAGGGAAGACTGACACCAAAAGGCACCAGACAGCTGACCACTGAGGACCCTGTAAGCAAAGCTCTTCAGTGTTTTAAACTCTGAGAACAAAGGTCAGCAAACTTAGTCTGTAACAACTTTGGCTCTGTGGGCTACTGAGTCTCTGTCTCAACTCTCCCATGACAGCAAGAAAGCAGCTGAAGATATGACAAGACGGCTGGCTGTGTATCAGGAGCTTTATTTACTAAAGCAGGTAGCTGCCAGCAGGCCGAGTCACCAACCCTGTCTGAAACTAAAAGCTAATGTAGAGTCTAGAACGGTAGCGAACCTAAGACACATGTGTTGTTTTTAAGACAAAAGATGCTTATATATGGGTTGTTTTTTCTAAAGGAAAACCTCATAGGTTTCATCGCAGTGTTGGCATTTTGCAATGAGTAAGTTGGTTTTTGGCTGCAGTTTGGGCTCTCGTCTCTAAAAGGTTCACCATTGCTGGTCTAGATACAACTAGTTTATACAGTAAAGAATCTCTAGAAAAGCAGTACTTTTGGCAGTGACTCAGAAGCTGGCAACTCACGAGGGGAGAGGACTCCTCACCTTGAAGAACACGGCTGCCACCGCACACAGAAACGTGAGCATCAGGAGCCCGAGCTTTCCTCTGCTGAATTGCTTCAGCAGCAGAAACTTCGCCAGATTCACCTTTGACTGGCTGTTGGGCGGGTATCTGAGTTTGTTGGCACCTTCTCTCTTCAAACTTTTTAGTAAGCAGGCACGATGATGAGAAAAAGTATCAAAACTGTATTTTCCATGATACGCCCCCATCCCACTGGCACCTGAAATAAAGCAAGCAGACAAAACAGGCTTCAGGGCGGGTGCTACAGGCCACCTCTTCACCTCAGCAGGAAGCCGCTGTGTACATACACTGCTGCCTGTGAGGCACCAACTCAGCTTCTCCACCACGGTCTCTTCTGAGGAAATCCTTCCAACTCTATCCCTGGCAGGGTCAACAGGCTTTCAGCCAGGATATTTTCTCAGACAGGGTAAGACTCTGCAGTCTGTCTGGGACTGGGGTTCTCTATTATGCCAGGGACTATGCTAAGAGTTTAATTGAATTCTCTAGGATAACTTTCACAACCCCACTGTTCTGGCATTATTAGTCCAGTTCCCAGAGCAGAAAGGAGCTTAAAGGATCAGTTAACCAGTGCAAGGTCGCATCCCTAGTAAAAACTGAAGCCAGACTCTGAACCCTGCCCAGTCTGACTCTCAATTCAGCGTGCTCTTTTCCCGGTTTTCCATGGTCCCAACTCACCCACTGCTTCCCCGCCCTGTGCAGCTACAAAGACCCAGATGACAGGGTTAGGCAGCTGCATAACAATAAGCAAATGAAAACCTCTGCCCTCTAGGAAGCCAAGCTCTGGGACCACTTTCACTTCCCTAACCACTGTCTGCACAACGACTGACAGATGCAAGGGGAAGAAAGGGGAGCAGTGTGCTGGGCAGGGGAAATGACACGGTGGTGGAAGGCAGGGGACCAGAGGCGTGGGCAGCTTACTGGGACTGCGCAGATGTGGAAAGGATCATTCAGGAAGCAAGGTGGGGTGGAGAACGGGTCCTGAGACACCCTAACCCTAAGGGGAGAGAAGAAAGGGTAGGAAGGGACTGGGGGGAAACGTATGAAGTGCTGACGGAAGAAGAACTGGGTGAAAATACTTAAGTGGAAATGAAAAGTAAAAGATCAGCAGGAACCATAAAGTTTGATGGCTACAACCCAGCTATTATAATGAAGAGGTGAAACGTGTTCCCCACAGGACTCCACATTTTAATGATATAACTTTTTCCCAAAATAACTTGTTAAATTTAAACAATTTTAATCAGAATCCAGCAGGATTTTAAAGGAACTCTTTGCTTTGAGTAGGAGGAGGTCAGGAGTGATTTTAAAGTTCACATGCAAGAATTAATTTAGTTAATAGTCAAGAAAACACTGAAAAGTACCAATGAGGGGCCCACTTTAGATAGGTAAGCAGTACCGTCCCTGAGGAGCAAACTACTGGACAGGACTCGTGGGTTTCAGAGATGGGCAACAAATGGGCAACTCAGGCTCAGTTCCTGGCTCTGCTACGAGTGATCTCTAAAATGCACGCACTCAACACAGGACTTAATACGCGTAAGAAACGCTAGCTACAAAGCTAACAAGCACTGTAATTAAAACTGTGGCACAGAGAAAGACAAGCTAGAAAGATAATGAAATGAAAGAGAAAACCTTACGATTGACCCAAGTATATATTTTATTGAGTACAGGTGACTTATTTTTAAAAAATGGTCCCACCACAGATTACTCTTTGGGGAAAAAAAAGTGTAGATTGTTACTCATGAATTATTCCAAAATGAACTCCAATGTTAAATGTAAAAGAAAAAATAGAAAATTCAAAGAAACTACAAATGAATACTTACATAATGCCGAAGTAGGAAAGAGCTTTCTAAACCAAATAGGAAGCCAAAGGTCTCATGGGTTTGACTATATACAAGTTTCAAACTACAGTTACAATGAAAGATAAAAAACAACCTGGAAAGAAATATTTGTTACAGATGAACAAGAATTTTCTTACTTATAAAAAGGCACCTCATATGTCAATAAGGATATCAAGTAAAGGCCATAAACAGAAAATCATTTGAGTACTGTAAAAGTCCAACCTCACTAATAAAAGGAGTACAAACTAAAATGAGAAGTTTTACTTGTCCAATAATTTCATAATGGATAACAGTGTTGGAGAAATAAATTGCTATAGTACTCAATGGAAGTACAAGGCGATGTATCTCTAAACTACATGCCAAAACGTTAATAGGGTTTACACCTCGAAAGGAACTGCATCTTCTTCCCTACAACATTCTGTGACATTATGTTTGCTAACTGCTTGTACTTTTTGCACTTAGGTATGATACACTGAGAATTCAGAGTCAGGCGTGGTGCCACATGTGCATAATCCCAGCAGTTGGGAGGAGGCGGCAAGATCTCCAGGAGTCCAAGGCCAGCCTGGGCTATACAGTGAGCTCCAGGCCAACGCGGGCTATACACAGAGACCTTGTCTCAAAAGCAAAAAATAAATAAATTCAAGGCCAGCGACACTACACAGTGAGGTCTTGTCTCAAAAACAAACAGAATTAGAAAACAAAAAGTTTCATTTTGGACAAAAAAAAAAAAAAAAACCCTTCTACTGTGTCTATTGTGAGACATTTTCCAGACGATATAAGCAGAGATTACACAAGTATATTGCATAATACTTATAATGCCAAAAAGATTAAAATTTTAACAATCTAACACTGGAACTTGGTCACAAAAATGTGGCACATCCTCCTAACGTAATGGCACACAGTTCCCAAGATCACACATGGGAACATCCACACTGTCCCATGTCACATGCTTGGTACAAATCAAGGCACAGTGAGATACCATTTTGAATACTCAAGTATCCATGTATGGATGTGCGAGACAAATCATCTTCACACAGTGGCATAAAATTGGATTTTTAGACTCTTCTGTCTTCTCTAAGATTTCTTAAGAAGGCCTGTATGGCTTTTATATTGGAGGAGGAGGTTAAAAAAGGAGGTAAGGTCGACAGCATCACATGTGACCTAGTCCAGGGGGAAATGGACTGCCAATCACTTAGGTTTACAATTAGGGGACACTGGTGATGACTTATGGACACTGGTCAGCTGGACAACTCTCTTTGAACAAAGAGCAACTATCTCCACTTTGGCTAAAGCTAGCCCAGCTCCACGTCCTGATACATACAGAGCTGATGGCTAAGCCGTTACCTCTGCCCTCCAACGGCTCTAAGCAATGTGAACAAGGCTGGTTGAGGTGCTGATGTATAATCCTTGAAGCTAGGCAGAAGTTGCTGTTTCCCTGCCCTGTGACTCCCAAAACACGGTTGAGCTGGGCAGGATGAATACCCATGGCTTCACAGTTGTCAACTGAGATCAAGCCCTGAGAGATAAGACACTAAGACTTCCCAGGGCAGAAAAGTTTGCACATCAGAGCTGAAACACCGCTCCCCAAAACATTAGCTGCTACCTTAACTGTGTTATGCAGATCAGTCTTTCAATGTATCTTTCTCTTTACATATTGCAGAGGTGCTTTTAGGCATTGTATTTCCCACCATTCTCACAGTCACTCATCCTCAAGCCACTCCCTTCTTCATGAATTATTAAAATCCAGGCTGGGCCCTAGGTCGAGACCTTTGTTCCAGAGAACCATTACTTTGGCTGAACTTAGGACCCTGTGGCTCCCTCCCCATTACTATAAATATGTCTTAATCTTTAGTCTCACTGTGGGTTGCACTGGAAGTGGTAGATCGGCATTAACTCATTAGAATTCCAGTAATTTTTCCACGGGCTACAAATATAAACTTCCCCGACCGAGAGGAGGTCCAGGAAGGGTTCACTGTAACGACTTGGGAAATGAGACGTTTGCTGCAGTGCACAGGGGGGCCAGGGTCCTATGGGAAGAATTCAGGACCTACAGACAGCTGACTGCCATCAAACCTTTCAGAATGTGGGCTGTAAAACTGCAGTTACTTCAGCCAACATCCCCAGAATCATTCTTGTTCATTCCCTCTCTCCTCCCCATTCACTCTATCTGGAAATCCTGTTGCCTGACCCCCAAAGGATCCCCTCCCTTTCCACCTCCTCCAGCTGGGATCCCGCAGTATATGCCAACCAGTCTGTCCACATCTGTCTCTCCCTCCTGCCAGGTACTGCACCGTGTCTCAGCAATATGCTTACCTCCCAGACAGGGACCTGAGGCATGCTCAGGCATGAGGCCAGGGTTCCCTAGCCATGGAATAAGGTTTACTTTAATCAGGGTTAAAACAATGGTCCTGGAGGGATTTTAGAGAACATGGCGGACAGATAACAGCAGCTACAGAGGCTCTCTGAAAGACTCGGCTCAGAATTCAGGAATGGTGCAGAGTAAGGAGACATAAGCAGGTGGAGATATGCTCTGCTGACCCAGGAACGAACTGGGCTGAGAGAAACCAACTTGGAATGCAGTCCTGGTGCTAGAACAGGAACAGAGGGGCCTCAGGGTGCAGGCTGGAGCCCGCGCCATTGGAAGCCACGATTTGGGTTTCCCGCCGCGCGGCGGCTGCATCTACATCAGCTCAGCAAGGAGAGAGACGCGCGGAAGCTCTGAGAATGGGAATCGGCGAACCGAGTCGAAAACAGGACGGGCGAGAGCCATGCACTGACTTGTGGTGAGGTGAGTGAGAGAAACTGACACTCTTCCACAGTTTGACTCCAGCGGAGGACATTCTGGGACTGGGCAGACTTGTGGGAGCGGGGCGCTGCGGCGACTTCAGCCACGTATTCCCCTCTCAAGCGGGATTGGTGAGAAGTGCCTAGCCTACGTGACGCTGCTGGCGGACACCCAGTGGGCTAGCACAACCCAGATCCCAGAGCCTGAGGGTGGCCTGGAGGGGCGGGCCCCCGAGTAGGCTGCCTGGTCTGGAATTTCCTGCTGTGCTGCGGTGGGCGGGAACACCTAGCCGGCGCGCAATTCGATCAGGCTGTGGCTGACAGGGAGGGAAGCTGGGCCTCCTATATAAGCTTGCATATATAAGGAACAAAGAATATGGGAAGAGGGAGCAACAAGAAAGGCTCCTCGGCCCCCAATCCCGAGAAACAGGCAATAGCGGACACCGCACCAATAGACATAAAGCGCCATCTAGAGAGCCTCAATTCAGGAATGAAGTTATTAATGACCTGAAGCTAGAAATAAGCAGAATAGTTAGAGAAATGCTAAGCACCACCCAAGAAAAAACGGATGGTGGAATGGAAGAACAGAAAAAGAGGAGAGAATTGTTTGATGGAGAAAATAGAGAAAGCATAGAATACGTGAAGCAGGTACAAAGGGACTACCAGGAAACTAAAAACTCTATCGAAAATTGGCATAACAGCTTGAAAGAAACTAAGGACAGACTATCTGAACTGGAGGGCAGACTTGTAATATGGGAGAATGAAATGAAAAACTTCGTAAAAGTAACAAAGAAACAAACAGCAATAATACAGACAAGAAGATGATAAGAGGATCCATAACTTAAGGATTAAGAACATAAAAGAAGAAATAGGGACACAAACAAATGAGCTACAAAAGCTACTTACAGAAATAATCCAGGAGAATTTTCCTAATTTAGCAAAAGGTAAAGATACTCAGATGTATGAGGCGTACAGGACCCCAGCTACCTACAACCCAAACAGAGCAACACCCAGGCATATAATAATAAAAATTCCAGAAATTCAATACAAGAACAGAATATTAAAAGCTGCCAGAGACAAGAAACAGACCACTTACAAGGGAACACCCATCAGAATTACAGCAGATTTCTCTGCACAAACCATCAAATCACGAAGAGCATGGGGGGAAATAATTCAAGCTTTGAAAGATAATAATCTCCAGCCAAGATTGAGATATCCTGCATAACTGTCCCTGGAAATTGATGGAAAAACAAGGTGCTTCCAGGATAAAGAGGAACTAGGGGAATTTGCAACCACCAATTCAACTCTACAGAGAGTATTGCAGGATATTCTAAAAAAAAGAAAAATACAAAAGAATCCAGAAATAGTGGCGGGGAGGCCACAATGAATGGAGCAGAGAACAAAATGAAGAAGACAAACTGACAACTAATGACAGAAAAAGAGCTCAACAGAAATGAGGCAGAGAATATTGGATGATAGGAACAGCTATTTTGGAGAAAATGACGTCTTAATAGATAATACTGATTTATTATCATCTTGTTTTGAAGTCTCATCTAGCTTTTGTTCTTCTGTCTCCATTGGTCTAAACAGGTTGTACCTTATTGGATTTTATTATGTACGATAGTATAAGCAAAAACTTTCAAAGACAAGGAGATTATACAGAAACCATTGTTCATTTTCTGTTAGTTGATTCTAAATACCCTGTAATGCTGTCATTCTCTTAAATGGTTTTACATTGTTTTGATATATTTAATGCTACAGTATACGAAGTTGTACTCAAGGAAAGAGACAATATGGTAACTACTTTTATGTCAGGATTATCTTGTGGTGAAACACTATTCTGCTTAAATGGTTATGTTTTGATCTGTGCTGTTTTGCTGTTATGCCTTCTTTTATCCAATCTCCACTCCATTATTTACTTTTTTATTTTTATCCTTTTAATTAAGGGAAAAATAAATAAAAATAGCAGGATATATTATAGTAACCCACTTTGACTTTCCATTATCTTGATTTAAAGCCCTGTATTACTCTCACCATCTTGTTTTTGACTGATGTCCCCCTATTCTGCATTGCTTGATAGTACCAGGTTCAAAAGTTTAGGCAACAGCTGTGAAGATAGTGAGATTCATTATGACGCCCATTCTCGATGACTTTTATCTACTTTTGAAGACCTACAATGTCTCCAATGTTTTGGTTTTGTCGGTTTTGTTCTTTACGGTTTTGTTCAATTTTATTATAACTGATGATATAGGCAATTCTATTAGAGATAGCAGGAGGCATTATGGTAACCATTATTGATCACCTTGTATTATGCTTTTACATTATCTATTATGTCCACCCTTTTGATTTGATTGACTCTGTTCTGTTATGTCACATTTGGTTCTACTCCTTTCCAAAAAAGTAATAAGAACTGTGGGAGTAACAAAACCCAAAATGTGTAATTGTCATTGTACAAAAGAGAGGAAAAGAAAGTGCTCTAAATGATATAACTGCATGTATATTTAAGTGTATAAGATAGAAAATGATATCACTGAGTTTTATTGGATCATTGAACAGAACTGTTTGCAGTATCACTGTTGGAATGTCCACTTTACAAGCTTTAATTTTGTGACTTGAACAATTATTTCTAAGATGACAATATGTAATCCATTAACTAGTGATTTCCTACTGTTTATTTTTTTCTGTAAATCTGTATAATCTTGTACCCTTTCTCTGCTTTTTTTTTCTCCTTAAATAAAATTTAAAAAAAAAAAAAAAAAACAATGGTCCTGCCAAGCTGGGCCATTAGACCCATAAAATAATTTATACTATTACGAATGCAAAGAATAAAGACTTTTAAAATAGTTGCTCACTATTAGAGGAATTTTTTCAGATTGGTCATTTTGTAGAATCTCAACTAAGTAGCAGCAAAACCTACCACATGGGTCTCAAAGGAGAAATAAAAAGGCAAAGCAAGCATCTCAGAAGGGGAAAGCGAAGCTGGTTACATCCCAAAGGCAATGGCCACAACATGGCTGTGTCCACCATGACTGACTGACAGTGTCTGTCCTCCTGCTCATCCTCAAATCCAGAATATGCAAGCAGTGGTTGCCTCTTCCTAGAGGATGGGGGAGTAGTGCAGGTAGCAACTGATTACCACTGGAAGTCACCTTAAGGAACATCAAAGGATGTCACAAAAGCTTCTGATTCTCTGATCCTGTTGGAAACCTTTTTTTCACTACCTCCTTTAAGCTAAAGAGAGAAAATATCTCACCACTTTGAGACCTGATTCTTGGCCCTCAAATTTCCAAAATTTGGCAGGAAATAAACAAGTAAATCAACAAACTGAACAAATTAACTACAGCTGTGGGCAGGGCTGCTGAGAACAGAATGACAGATTCACCCTGAGATGAACAAGGACACAGGGAGCCACTGTCACCTGGGCAGCAGAGGAAGTCCTCTCTCAGGAGAGGACAATCAAACTGAAATCTCAAGAAATCAGCAGCCGTCAGCTCTTTCTACCGCCTGCACAAAAGACTTGAAATGTGCAGTGTTCCTGACAGATTTACCAGGAAGTGCAGGAGAAGGTAATACTCACCCACTCCTCCGAAGGGCAACGCATTGAGTGTGAAGTGCATGACGACATCATTGACTGTGACCCCACCACTGGAGGTCTCGTCAATCATCCGTTTGATGAGCTAAGAACAGACCAAACAAATCCTGATCAGTGACACCCATGCCGCTCCTCATGCGGAGGGCTGTGTCCTCCGGAAACACACATTCTGGCTTTGTGTACGAAGTTCTCAGGCTTGGGGACACTGTGTCACACCTTGATAAACTGTGTTAATTTAGCAAATGTGATTGATATTTAACTTCTGAGAGGTACATCTAGCACAAGTTATACATCTGAATCTGAACACCCCAAGTCTGAAATGCTCCCAAACACCAAACTTTTTAAATTCCAACCTGATGTTACCAGTAGAAAACTGCACACCTTGAAACTTTTGTTTTATGTACAAAATTTTTTAAAAATTGTATAAATCTATGTATTTAGGATATGTGTGTATAGTCTATATAAAACAAATGAATTCTGTGTTTAGACTTGAGTCACATCCCCAACTTAGTCTCACTATATACAAACCAAAATTCCAAAACCTAAAGTCCAAAGCATTCCTGAACGCCAGTACATCAAGGGACTTTGCCCTGAACCTTTTGGTCTTTCACGAGAACACTATCTGGAGTTGTACTCCCAAAAACTGAAGCTGAAGGCTTTTAAGGCTTTCAGACCACAGTATATTCCAGGATTTAAGTATTGTTTCTCAATCGTTGCTCTAAATTAAGCACATGATGATAGGTATTAATCTTTATGAAATGTGTAAGTATTTAGGATCTTAGATTTAGCATTCTATTCTTGAAGAAAAAAGTGGCTAGTTAGCCTAAGAACCAAAAAGGCCAAATGACACCAGCTCAAGAAATGTTACCTCACCTAGGTGCCAGAAAGCTGCTCCTGACAATCTTCCCAGCAAGGGTCACGTTTGGACTGCAGTGATCTCAGGTGACCCACCTCCAGGAACTGCCCTCACTGAGCTGCATGCTGGCCACCAGACGGCAGACTTCAGGGTTCCTGCCCACTGTATTATCTATGGTCGTTTTACATGGCAGGACACTGTTGTCTAAGTAAGTCTTTACTGAGTCTCATACATCTGTCTCACTTCAAATATCTGTGGCCATCTGTAGCTAATTAGCATTCTAAGCTCAGAAACTATTACAGGATTATATGCTTCTATTTACCTCCAGGAGTTCTCCAGAAAACATCTGCCTTATGAACATCTCATACAGACTGACCCTACCCTTACCCTTTCATTTTCCCTTTTCTTCAGAACCCACCTGCCACATGGAGGCCACTGCCCATTAACAGCACACGCAACACAAATAAGCCATGCAGAAAGCAGCAGAGCTGGTCCAACACGTGACACGCCCTACCCATCCAACAACAATGTCATCTGAGGAACTGAAATCCAGGATACCACAACCACTCACGTGCAAGTCTTTGTCTTACTCAGACCCACGTGAATGGCCGTGAATTCCATTTTGGTCACATGGTTAGGAACACTTTTACAGAGTAAGCCCTACGCATTCATGTCAGAGAAGCATAGGATGCTGACATGTGTAAGTCTTGTAATTATACAGGAGATGTTTGTGAGTCCAACGCTTTGTGACATTCACCCCTGTGGACTCAGATCTAATCCCAGGGAGTAGGGGAAAGGATATAGTGAAAACCTTGGGACCTCATTACCCAAGACAACAAGCTCTGTGTACACACTCAGCAGCTGAACCCTGACATACATACAAGCTATCATTTACTTTCCAGCGAAGAAGAAATATACCATGATAGTCAGCCATGATAGTGAGCTGTTCTTTATAAAGGTTACCTTATTGTTATGAGAAAATATATAGAGCGCCAGGGGCTTTTCACGTTCATTTATGAAGTTTATGGCTTCATCTGCATTTTTCACAGGCACTAATGGAAGAACTGGTCCAAAAATTTCCTCTTGCATCACCCTGGATTTAGGATCCACGTCAGTAAGTATCGTTGGGGCTAAAAAGAAAACACAATGGAAACACTAGAAAATAGAAAATAAAACTGCAAAACTCTCAAGTTACATGTTTATCACTACCTCCTTCACCCAAGTTATAGCTTTTTTAAAAAAATAAAGTCCCCTTAGCGTGTGTCAGTCCTGGGTTTGATCTCCCCCTGAGCAGGGACTGAATGGTGCAAATAGGTCTCTTCAAAGCAAGTGAATCAAAGGATTCTTGTGCAAACCAAGAGGAAGATACACACAGAGATATGTCTTTTTTTCTGGTTCATACTAACCCTGTTCACAGAAATGGGCATATTTACCCAGAGGTTACACTGACATCTCTCCCAGACTCAGACAGACAGTCTGAGTCAAATCAACAGTGCTCCTTAACTCAAAATTTTTCTGCACATTGTATCACTGACTTTTACTGTTAGCTGCCAAACAGATTAAGATTAACACACTCAAATGAGCAAGACTTGCTTCTCCTCCGTAGGAGTTCAGTGTTCTGTCTACTAAGGGACAGCAACAGACGAAGGGAGAGTACAGCAACACTGCAGAAGCAGTGCAGAGGGCCCCAGTGTCTGTGCCAATGCAGGGCACAAATCACAGAAGCCCACAAACCCAGCGCGTCATCAGCTGAGAGAAGACTTCCGGCCATAACAAGATGACTCTCCCTCTTTCCCGTAGTGTCTACCAGGTTCCTGGACACCATGGCTAAGGCTAGCTCTCTGCAGCACACTCCATGCGTACATAAGCAGCTCTCCAAAGCCCAGGCCGCCCATGTTAAGTCCAGAACCAATTTGATTCCCCAACTGGAAGTCCTAATTAGACCAAGCTAATCATGACAGGCCCTTCCTCTTGCCTCCGATTACCCCAGAAAGGAGCAAAGCTGCCATGCCAGAGATGGGAAAACAGAAAGATGAAAGAATTGGCATGCCGAGGGTTTGTTTTGTTTTTGATGGTTAAGACTGAGCCACCGAATTACTCAGCCCAGGAGCACGCAGGGATGCTCATTATAAGAGAATAAACTTCTCATTATTTAAATCCTTTACATTTTTGAGTTTTGTTGTTCTGTTTGTTTTCTGAACTGGGTTCTTGCTTATTAGTCCAGACTAGCCTTGAACTCACTATGTAACCCAAGTAGCAATCTTCCTGCCTCAGCCTTCCCAGTGCTGAGATTACAGACATATGCCACCATACCTGGCTCTTTTTGCTTTTCTAAAGTTGGGGGTTTGGGGTGACTTGTAGCATTCTATCTGATACGGGGATTTTAAAAAAGCAATTTGGGGCAGCTTCTTTGCCCACCAAATGTTTCACTTCTTCAGTCACTTTATTACGTTATTTTACAAAATATATTTAAAACTCAGAAGTAGTATATTAGAAAAATACTCAATAGTTTAGTAATAAAACACCATATAAATAATAGTTCACTTACTGACAATAAATAGAATCAGTAAAAACACCAAACTGCGATTTTCCAACAGAAAAAGGTGAATTTTATTACCTATGTAGCGTGTGGCCTCGTCAGTCTCCCCACCAAAAGCTATCTTCTGTCCTTCAAGCAAGCTTTGTATTCTCTTAAAATGACGAAGATTGATGATCCTTTCATAATCAGGAGATTCTTTTACATTTTCTCCATAAAATTCCTATTGAAACAGTACAAGTTACTTGTCACAAAGACCCATTATTTCAATCCCCTTTAAGTTCAAAATCCATCCATGCCTAAAATTAATCTGTTTTTATATCCATAAAGAATCCAATACTACCTTTACCCCACTATTTAGCAGTAATACAGAAGCAAGCTTATGCTTTTTGACAGATGATATAAATTGTCCTCCCCCAATAGATCTATGGCTTCACAAAGTTCCACAAGGTTCTGTGGGTCTCCTGCTGTCTACCCAGTCTTCCTGGGAGCCAGGGAAGAATCCCAGCGCTGCGCCTGGGCATCCACCGGTACACACTGCAGTTTCCCCGCAACAAGGTACAGTACATAACTGCTGAGATGATCTGATCTTCAAACCTAAAATATTTACTATCCAGTCCTTTACAAAAAGATTGCCAGTCGGGACTTCCGGGAGAACATGGCGGACAGATAACAGCAACTACCGGAGGCTCTCTGAAAGACTCGGCTCAGAAGCCAGGAATGGTGCGGACTAAGGAGACATAAGTCGGTGGAGATATGCTCTGCTGACTCAGGAACGAACTGGGCTGAGAGAAGCCAACTTGGAATGCAGTCCTGGCGCTAAAACAGGAACAGAAAAGCCTCGGTGCGGAGGCTGGAACCGCGCCATTGTAAGCCGCGATTTGGGTTTCCCGCCGCGCTGCGGCTGGCTGCCTCTACAGCGGCTCGGCAAGGAGAGAGACGCGCGGAAGCTCTGAGAACGGCAATCTGCGAACGGCAGGGAGGTGTGCACTGACTTGTGGTGAGGTGAGTGAGAGAAACTGACACTCTACCACAGTTTGACTCCAGCAGAGGACTTTCTGGGCCCGGGCAGTCCTGCGGGAGCAGGGCGCGGTGGGACTCCAGCCACACATCCCCCTCTCGGGCGGGATTGGTGAAAAGTGCCTGGCCTGCGTGACGCTGCCGGCAGATCTGGTAGACTGTCCCAACCCAGATCCCAGAGCCTGACGGTGGCCAGGAGGGGAGACGCGTAGGCTGCCTGGTCCGTAACTCCCTGGTGCACAGCGGTGAGTGGGAACAACTAACTGGCGCAATTCGATCAGGCTGTGGCTGACTGGGAGAGAAGCTGGGCCTCTCATATAAGCTTGCATATATAAGGAACAGAGAAGAAGAGGCAGCATGGGAAGAGGCAGCAACAAGAAAGGCTCCTCGGCCCCCAATTCTGAGAAACAGGCAATAGCAGACACCACACCAATACACATAAGGCACCATATAGAGAGCCTCATAGACCAATTCAGGAATGAAGTTATCAATGACCTGAAGCTAGAAGTATGCAGAATAGTTAGAGAAATGCTAAGTACCACCCAAGAAAAAACAGGTGGTGGAATGGAAGAACAGAAAAAAAGGGGAGAATTGTTTGATGGAGAAAACAGAGAAAGCATAGAATACGTGAAGCAGGTTCAAAGGGACTACCAAAATACTAAGAAGTCTATAGAAGACTGGCATAACAGCTTGAAAGAAACTAAGGACAGACTATCTGAACTGGAGGGCAGACTTGTAATATGGGAGAATGAAATGAAAAACTTCTTAAAAATAACAAAGAAACAAACAGCAATAATACAAAGACAAGAAGATGATAAGAGGATCCATAACTTAAGGATTAAGAACATAAAAGAAGAAGTAGGGACACAAACAAGTGAACTACAAAAGCTACTCACAGAAATAATCCAGGAGAATTTTCCTAATTTAGCAAAAGGTAAAGATACTCGGATGTATGAGGCATACAGGACCCCAGCTACCTACAACCCTAACAGAGAAATATAAACAGGCATATAATAATAAAAATTCCAGAAATTCAATACAAGAACAGAATATTACAAGCTGTAAGAGACAAGAAACAGACCACCTACAAGGGAACACCCATCAGAATTACAGCAGATTTCTCTGCACAAACCATCAAATCACGAAGAGCGTGGGGGGAAATAATTCAAGCATTGAAAGATAATAATCTCCAGCCAAGATTGAGATATCCTGCACAACTGTCCCTGGAAATTGATGGAAAAACAAGGTGCTTCCAGGATAAAGAAGAACTGGGGGAATTTGCAACCACCAATTCAACTCTACAGAGAGTATTGCAGGATATTCTAAAAAAAGAAAAATACAAAGAATCCAGAAATAATGGCAGAGAGGCCACAACGAATGGAGCAGAGAACAAAATGAAGAAGACAAACTGACAGCTACGGACAGAAAAAGAGCTTAACAGAAATGAGGCAGAGAAGATTGGATGATAGGAACAGCTATTTTGGAGAAAATGACATCTTAATAGGTAATACAGATTTAGTATCATCTTGTTTTGAAGTCTCATCTAGCTTTTGTCCTTCTGTCTCCAATGGTCTAAATAGGCTGTATCTTATTGGATTTTATTATGTACGATAGTATAAGCAAAAACCTTTTAAAGACAAGGAGATTATACAGAAACCATTGTTCATTTTGTTAGTCGATTCTAAATACTCTGTAATGCTGTCATTCTCTTGAATGGTTTTACATTGTTTTGATATACTTAATGCTACAGTATACGAAGTTGTACTCAAGGATTTCAAAGAAAGAAACAATATGGTAACTACTTTTAGGTTAGGATTATCTGGTGGTGAAACACTATTCTGCTTAAATGGTTATGTTTTGATCTGCGCTGTTTCGTTGTTATGCCCTCTTTTATCTCAATCTCCACTCAATTATTTACTTTTTTATCTTTATCCTTTTAATTAAAGGAAAAAAAATAGCAGGATATATTATAGTAACCCACTTTGACTTTTCATTACCTTGATTTAAAGCCCTGTATTACTCTCACCATCTGGTTTTTAACTGATGTTCCCCTATTCTGTTTTGCTGGATAGTATCAGGTTCGAAAGTTTAGGCATCAGCTGTGAAGATAATGAGATTCATTATGACGCCCATTCTTGTTGACTTTTGTCTACTTTTGAAGACCTACAATGTCTCCAATGTTTTGGTTTTGTCGGTTTTGTTCTTTACTGTTTTGTTCAATTGTATTATAACTAATGATATAGGCAATTCTATTAGAGATAGCGGGAGGCATTATGGTAACCATTGTTGATCACCTTGTATTATGTTTTTACATTATCTATTATGTCCACCCTTTTGACTTGACCGATTCTGTTCTGTTATGTCACATTTGGTTTTACTCTCTTCCAAAAAAGTAATAAGAACCGTGGGAGCAATGAAACCCAAAATGTGTAATAGTCATGGTACAAAAGAGAAGAAAAGAAAGTGCTCCAAACTATATAATTGCATGTATATTTAAGTGTATAAGATAGAAAATGATATCACAGAGTTTTATTGGATCAATGAACAGAACTGTTTGCAGTATCATTGATGGAATGTCCACTTTACAAGCTCTAATTTTGTGACTTGAACAATTATTTCTAAGATGACAATATGTAATCCATTAACTAGTGATTTCCTACTGTTCATTTTTTTTCTGTAAATCTGTATAACTTGTACCCTTTCCCTGCTTTTTTTTTCTTTTCTCCTTAAATAAAATTTAAAAAAAAAAAAAAAAAAAAGATTGCCAGTCGATTTACTTTGTTGATTTGTGTCTTCTCTGGACTAGTTTTTCCACTAGTCATGAATAACAGTGAAAAAGGTCAGAATACAGTTTCCTAGAAACATACAATCAATACGTGTTATGCAAAACAAACCCAAAACTACTGCATTGCTACACCACTTCAAAGCCCTGCAAGAACTCTGAGTTTAATCTCAAAGAAAAATGAACATTATTCACCCACCCTCCACTAAAAAGCAACTCTCGAATCTGGTGGCAAGGATTAGCCTGATAGCTTGCTGATACATGTGTTTATGGGTCCAAGGTTCAGGGCCACCAATGACGGTTTGAGTATTGATTTCATCATAGAATCACCTGGAGGCCTCAGACCATGTGGATTGGAGTATCTGGAGGATAAGGATCAGCAGCTCATTTTTAATGGCTCCCTAGTGACTAACGCGTACTCTGCTGAGAATGCCTGTTTTGGAGTAGCCAGAGGGGCTCTTCTTCCTTGGGACTAAGTTCATCACCATGCTCAGCTAAGCACTTCTCCAATGCCCAGGGATTTTCATTCCACAGGTATCATCACTCCCTCTTCCATCCCAGAGTCCCAAAACCTGGCCAACTTTCATGTTCCCCTTGTCTACATCTGCCATCAGGTGTAACACTGAAGTCTAATTCTCCCATCAAGATCTTGGCACCTCCTCCGATCTTCTTAAACTTCATGCTACACAATTTTCATTCTCTGACCAAACATTACTCTTTAATATTTTTGATCTTTACTTTAAGGGCTCCATTAACATTGGATGATTGAGCAATGGCTATTCCAGTAATTTCTTCCAGCAAGGGGGCTAGTGATCTCTTCTACCCCTGAACTAGTAAGACTGATCAGCCTTTTCCTTTCTACCAATTTAAATCCAACACTTACTCGAAGGCTTAGCTTAGGACATTGCCATGAAACCTCCTATGGTTCCCTGAAGAGACTAGTAATTACCTAAAGGGTACATCGTAAGTCCGTATTTGATTAACTCGCTCCTTTACAGTACTGGCCATCTTAACATACTTATGAGTAACTTTAATCAGTAAAAGCCAATATGCCAAAAGAGTTTCTGATTACACTTCAAGGAACTGGCAGCATCTCTCCAGTCAACAGATACAGCAGTTCAAGTTTTTTTTTTTTTTTTTTTTTTTTTTTTGGTCTTTTTCGTTTTTTATCGGTACTGGGGATCGAACTCACGACTGCCTGCTTGCAAGGCAGGCGCTTATGTCACTGAGCTAAACCCCCAGCCCCCAGTTTAACTTTTCTTAAGATATATTCCATAAATAACTATCAACAAATAACTAGATAGTTTGAGTGAATTTACAACCTAACCTTGCCCCTCTTCTGTAAAGGGCATAAAGAATTTCCAATTAGCCAGTAAGTTAGTTCAGTCACACATACTACTGGAATTGTCCAATGGGACGAAGGGATAACAATGCTGTCTACAAACACGCATCTTACAGAAATCAGTGGAATCAGATGGGTTGAATACAGACCTTCACAGTTTCCTTAATCTTCTGCACGATTTGATTCTGGAGGGAGGCTTCACAGAGAACATAGTCGGGAGCGATGCATGTCTGACCACAATTCATCCATTTTCCCCAGGTTATGCGCCTGAGGGAGAAAAACCAGAAGAGCTGAATAATTCAGCCAAACTGGTTCAGTCAAAACCAAATGGATTCAAATATTTACCCAGTAATCTTTGACAAAAATAAACCCATCTCTAAAACAGTTGGTTAGAATTTAGATTGCATTTTCTAATGGAAATAAAATATTCTAAGTACCAGAGAAGGAAAGTTCTCAGCTTGTGAGAAACAGTACTTGGTAAACAGTGAAGTCATTACCTACTGCAAGAAAGTGAAACACATCTTTCCTATACCCCTTCCCCTCTCTTCTCCAGCTAAACAGCTGTCCTGAATCACAAGAGTTCAGTTTAGACTCTGCCTCCTCCAGTTGTGGCTTTAGAACCTGCTGGCAAGATGTCCGAGGTACAGCAAGCACCTGCACCCACTTTCCTCTACTGGAGTCTTCTCCCACTCTGAAAACCCCTCCTCCGCACAGACACGATCCCACGACCACAGCGTTCACTGTGGGGCTCTTGTTTTGGCAACGCCGCTTCTATGAACAAAGCCAACCTGGATCCTTGCTGTAAGTCCTCACCTTGCCCTTCACTTTCTGTGTCTGAAGAAGAAAAAAAGTCACAGCACCTGGATAACAGCAGTGGTTCTGGCTTCTAGTACCAGAGATGACCTGAAACTTTTTATTTTCTAGTTCTCAGCTGCAGGATGCTAGTCAAAGTTAAAAGATGAGCAATACTGATTTTTACCAATAAAAGATCAATATGCTATCATTTCAAGTGAGGATTTAGATATTTCATTAGGCATAGGCAGCGTTTTATATTACCTACTTCCTGATCAATGACTAGCAGATCTTTAAAATTTCTTGCCAGATTTATCTCAGAAATGGAATATTCCCAAAATTTCTAATGACAACCACACTGATATGAGGACATGTGGTTCAACAACAAGAAGACAGTTTGTGAAAGATGTGTGACTCTTGAGCACATCAACCACAAAAGCTCAATTATATATTTTAAAGCCATAAAGGCATGGGGTTCAAGTGCAAAGGACAACATCAACCTATTAGAAAAACCCTCAATTGTGCAGTGAAAAACCTAAGTAAACCGAAGCCAACCTCACCTGCAAACAACGTCCAGGTCACAATCTTTATCGACATAACATGGACTTTTCCCTCCCAGTTCAAGTGTCACAGGGGTCAGGTGCTTAGCAGCAGCTGCCATGACAATTTTTCCAACTGTGGCATTTCCCGTATAGAGAATGTGGTCAAATCGATGCTTCAGCAGTTCTGTGGTTTCCTCAACGCCACCATTAATAACAGCATACAGGTCCTCAAAGAAAGAGAAACATCTGTTTGTCCTGCCAAATTAATCCTCTTGTGTCACATCACAACTTTCTTTAACATGTATTGTTACGTACAACTAGAAGATCAAGGCCAATCCCTGTGAGGGATGAAGAGGGAAGGGACCAAGGACAAGCAAAGAAAGTTTGTCTGGGAACCATCAACCTCCATGAAACAAACCAGACAGTCTAATGTTTTCAATATGAGCACAAACAAACAAACAGTTGGATGTGACCAGAGAAACACATCAGGTGGGTATGGCATGGTGTACGGTGTGGAAACTTAGAATCTGGGTGAGAAAGTAACACTGTCAGTAACCACTGAATGAGTCACAGCTGCACATCATAATTTAAAAGCTTTTTCTCTATACAACATAGAACAAGGCTCAGTTCAAAGTAGAAACCAAGTCCCTGTCTGCGGAACGTACACCTGGACTGAACTTGGGCTCTGCCACTCACTAGCTTATGCCACCTTCAGCCAGCAACATTTCTACATCTCAGTTTTTCTGACCTGCTACTGGGAGAATTCATATAGCTTCTCTGAATTAAGCCTTTGTATGTATTGTGCTATTATTAGCAGCTATTCTAAAGGTGAAAACCTTGAATAATAATAGCATGAAAAGTAACAAATGAGAACAGATGGGAAGGAAGGGAGATCAGAGAAGTTTAAAAGATTCTGAGTCTTGAATATGAAGTAAAAGTGCCTTGTGGACACTCTGTTTCCATTCAATTTCCTGCTCTTTGAAAGACTAGTTCTTACTTCTTAGTTTAACCACCTAATGTTTCAAGTTTTAATTTTTCTATGGCTTAATCTAGAAAGTATATGTCATGGTTTACGTCGGTGGCCCCCAGGCCTCATGCATTAGCATTGTGCATTTGTGACTGGTTCATAGTCTAGCACTTGCATTGATGGTGTCAGTGCTACACCCTCCTAGGGATGGGGCCAGTATACAACGTAATGGCAGGAAGAAGGCATGTCCAACTCTCAGCGGTTTCCACTCTGCTGTTCCACCATAAACTGTGGCCCGCCATGCCATCCTGACTTGGAGCCAACTGAGTATGGACTAAAACCTCCAAAAACCGTAAGAAATAAATCTTTCCTTTCCCAACTTTGGGCATCAGGTACTTTGTCTCAGCAATGAGTAAAATGTAGCTAAGACAGCATATGTGATTGGTTCCCAGACAAGCTAATAGAAGGAGGTATTACACTGTCATCCTCTCTATCTGAAGTCAACCACCCAAACATTTACCCCTGAGGAGGGGCAAAGCAGAATCCTCTTCCATCTGCTGGCTCTAAGACCTACTCAATCCACAACATCTCACTATTTTCCATTTTATTCTTTTAGATCGGACAACTATTAAGAACTACTGTGGACTGCCATAATAGTGACATGATAACAAAGAACAGTATTATTCAAAGAGCCAGAATTAGTCTCAAGGCCATTAGAAATTAACATGTCCAATACAGCTAGGATATCTGTCTTTTACTGAAAGCTAAATGAAGACTCCTCTCTGCAATAACTATCTATTCAAATTCATCACAAACTTCTTCCCTAGGAAGACCTCAGATTTTGAGAAACAAACCACCCCACAGCTCAGGAAACCACTTTTCTTATTTAGCCTTTGATACTCTGTAATGCTAGCACTTTAATCCAATGTAAAGATTCACCAGCTAGTTCAGGAGGCTACTTTTTTCCTTTATTTTTCATATTACACACATGCAAATTTTATAGTATGAGAGTCTCCAGAAAAGAAATTCTGTGACAAAATATGCTAGCACTCAGCACAGTACCAGCCTTTCATTAACCAATTCATTAAATGAATAATCCTATAGTCATATGTTAGTGTGAATAAGGATTAATCTGAAACGACAAATGGTAGAAGATCTGTAAATAGCAGAGATATTTACGAGCCTAAATATGTTGTGTAACAATCAGAGCTGGGTTATTACACAACATGCTTTGGAACTTCTTTTACTAAACCCATTGTTAGCAGTACAAGGAAACTGTAGACAGCTGCTCAGCAAGCAACAACAGCCAAGAAAATCAAAACTACAAAACTGCAAATGGCTTCTCAGCAAACAACAACAAGCAGCAAATCAAATGTGTGCTTTCCACAACAAACAGATGTGTTGAAAATGGGTCAAGATAGTCTTACCTGGTCTAAATACTGAGGAAGAAGCTTAGTCAAGATCTTGGCTGTGTTTTCACTTAATTCAGAAGGCTTGATAATCGCAGCATTTCCTAAACAAAATAAAAAGTAAAACAGTATCATTTAATACTGGTGTACCTTTAATAATTACTAAATATAATGTTGATGGAGAAGTTACAGGCCCGGTACAGTACTCCAATTATTTCAGGTCACCGACAATAGGTTCCATCATCCTCCAGCTTCTATCACTTTTCTCTCATTTCTACCCTTGGATTTTCCTCTCTGCCCTCAATTATTAACTAGCAAGCTATGTCAACATAAAGCTTTCCCTATAGATTCTCCAAAGAAATTAATCTCTAGTCCCCTGCTGTATATCCAAGCAGCATTACACCCACAACCTTTATCTGAATGAAGAAACTGGTCTGGTGGAATCAGATGGTTAGCCCAAAGCCAGAGTTAGCAGCTGATACCATATAGAATATGAATACCTAACTCCCAATTCTCCTTCTGCCTATCAGATCAAATGCCTTTCAGCCTCACAGGTTCATTCCCTGGGTAGCTCAAAAACCAATCATGCAAATATCATATACATACATGCGTACATATTTGTGCTGGCAAGGCATACCTCCATAGTAAACGGCTCCATAGTAAATATAGTTAGCCATTATCCTTACTTTACAACCAATATGAAAAAAAATATGTCCCTCTAGAAAGTTATAAAGACACAGCTGGCACCACACCTGCAGCAATGGCTCCTACCAGTGGATGCATGGTGAGAACAAATGGGTAGTTCCAAGCTCCAATAATCAGTACGACTCCCAGAGGCTCTGGCTGAACATAGACCTCATCCAGCAAGGTCAACAGGTTCTTCTTAGCTGGGGTAGGAGTAACCCATTCAGGAAGATTCGCCAGCATAAAACCAATTTCCCCAAGGACAGTAATGACTTCCTGATTGAATCCGTTGAATTCACTCTGGTAAAAAGAGAAGCAGTTAACCTTGCAGAATGAGTATGATACATGTGGCCCTGAAGATCAAAACCTTAGGCCTTATCAGTCTAGCTAGTTTGCTGTACAGATTTATTTCTTCTGCACCCTCTTAAACTTCCTAATATTTGCAATGCTTCTAAATTCTTCTGTACTGACTAAAGCCCTTTAAAATTAGGCTTAAACATTATCACTTTCAGGAAGACTTCTCTGAATAGCCTGACTAGATCACACTTTACATAGCAAATATGCTTCTTACTATTGTAATATCTTACTATTTCATCCTTAATATTCAGGCTTATAATTATACTCACATTTTATATATGATGTTTCTCAATTGTGTTTAAAACTCTCCAGGGAAGTGAGTTACTTGTTTTCCTTAGTAATTATACATACAAATATTTGAGGTTTGTAGAATGAATGATTTACAGGCTTTTAAGTCTTGATTTCTATGTCCTGTCTAGTTACTATCACAGCCCCTCTCCACCAAAAGCACTTTAAAAGAAATTTTATAGCTACTACTGTCATTATTGCTATCACTACTCCCTGAAAACTCTTTGGGGGAAGGGATAATCAAACCCTGAGGAAAGCCTGTCTATGCTTGAATGCACATAAAAAGATAAAAGAAACACCACTAGAAAATACAAGGAATACTGTATTTTTTTTTGGTATATTTATATCTTAAACTCGACTTAAAACTTTTGCTACTTGAAGCATGCTTCCAAAAGAGGCAGTATAGCTCCTGAAATCTCATTAGAAACATGGAATCTCTAATCTCCTCCAGACTGGAACCACAATTTGCAATTTAACAAGACCTCCAGGTGATTATCAGTGCACTGTAGTTTGAACACTGACCTTTTCCTAAGAGTAATTAAGAAAATTTGGGAGTGAAATGATAACCGAAAAAACCACTGTCTACAAAACAAAGCAAGAACAAAGTGTAACGTCAAGATACAGACCTGGCAAAAAATATATATATCTGCTGTATCCAGGGCTGATAAATTACTGACATTCACCTTATACAGAGTTCCTACAAATCGTAAGTAATTGGACCCTAAATGCAACAGAAAAATGCGCAAGAAGGCCACAAATACAGTAATTAAGAATATAAAGACAATTCGTAGAACTATGGAGCCCAGGAAACGCATGCACTCCCAGTGTCTGCAGATACACAAACAGGTTCGCTCTCAGTAAGGCTAGGATATAGGGAAAATCGACAGAAATTTTGCTTTTCCATCTGTGCTTCTGGAAGGGTCACTCCCACAGCGCTTGTGCACTCAGAAATAACTAAAAAAGAGAAAAAGCAAAAACTCGGGCGCCAGGCAGTCCCCATGTCAGGAAGGGTCAGGCCGCCGTCCAGGACCCGTCCGGCAGGCGCGCCTACCTTGCACAAGTCGGCGCCGATGGCCGCCAGGATGTCCTTCTCGTGCTCCTGCACCATCCTCCGCAGGGCCTCGAGCTGCTGTAGCCGGAACTGCAGGGGTCGCGACCGGCCGGACCGGAACGCCTGTCGAAGCCGCTGGACTTCACGCTCCATGGCTAGTTCAGAGGAGAAACGCGAGCACAGTTGCGTAGCAGGCTAGGAGACTGGAGCGCGTCCGCCCGCTCCTCGTCTCGCTCGTCTCTCCTTCAGGCTGGAAGTCACAGCTGACGCCGGCAGCCGACTCTGCCTTCAACCCGCTCAGCTGGGGCCTCACTACAGGCAAATCCCGACGCCCACACAGCCCAGCCGGAGCGCAACGCGAGCCGCGCGCCCATTGGTCCGAACAACCCACGTGACCGAAAGGCCCCGCCCAGTGCCTTTAGTCCAGCCTGCGAACCCAGCTGGGAAAGTCAGTGTGGCTTACTCGGCGCGGTCCTGGCGGGGCCATGTATGTTAGTGTGCAGGGGTGGAAGGAAGAGGATCGTGGTGCTGGGGAGAGGAATCTCAGGGTGGATTCAGATCATGGTGGCTCCGGTTGAAAAGTAGTCACAAGATGCAAGGGGAGGGGAGCAGAGGACGAGCCGCTAGGGGGCAACCAGACGCCAGACAGGAAGCCCCGGGCTCAGACTGAACGCCACACGCGCGGAGACGCCCTAAAGGGCTTGTGGCAGCTTCCTTCCTGCTCCGCTCTGCGGCTGTTCAGATGTGGCGGAGTAGGCAGAGCTTGGAGGCTGGGCGGTGCCCAACGTGAGAGGCATGCTTGGGCCAGGCCTTTCCGAGAGCATGGGGAGGAGCGCTTAAAAGGCACAGGGCCCACCTTCACCCCCTCCCAGTCTTCAGCTCCCCTCAGTTCTGGCTCCTTCCTTTAGGAATTTAGCTTTGTTTAGTGAATGCAGCACGAAGGTATCCTAACAATTCGCTCCGCAGTTAAACCTCTGAGGACAGAAAACCAGACCTTTCTCTCCTGTAATCCCAGCGGCTTGCACGCAAGCATTATCGTCGCCCACGCTTGTTTTTCCCCCCAAATTCTCCCTTCTGTGCAGATCATCCTGCTTTTCTGCTCCTCTTTGTAAACTCCAAAGATGGAACTTGGTCCACTCAGGTGTTCCTATATCTCGTTGCCATTCCAGTGCCTGGTCTCAGGTCTCAAATTTTTGTTTTCCATTTCCCTGCACTCTTCAGGTTTTCCCTTTAGCCCATTTGAGTCCTCTGAACTTTGCTAGATCTTGCTTCTGTATCCTGTTTTCTATCTACAATCTATCTTATGTAATGCTAGCTTCCAAGAATCAGTTTAGCCGTACTCCTCCCCTTTCATTTTCATTAAAGAGTTTGAAGAGAATTTGCATTAGATTCTCTTTGAAGTTCTAACAGAACTCAGTGTGAATTCATGGAGTCCTGGGCTTTTCTTCATTGGTAGGTTTTTACTATTAATGCCGTGTTATGGTTGACACATTGAGTCAACTTGAAGAATCTAGCTGCTCTATATCCTGGGGTGTACAGGACAAGCTGTTACTGTTCTAGGATATTGTTCATTGCGTCAGTTTGAGGTTAGAAATTTAACTAAGTGATTCAGCAGGGGTCCAGGGCCCTTAGTTTGTAAATATCATCTGTGCAAGAGGTGGCCACAGAAATTTTGTGAGTGCTACATCTGCTGGGGGTCTTTGCTGTCTGGAAGTGTTGCCTCTGTGCCATGCTACCCCTTCTTGGAGCCTGCTGATTATGGACTGAAACCACCACAACTGAGCTAAATAAATCTTTCTTTTATTTTGGGTGTTGGGTCATTTTGTTCCAGTAAAAGAGAAAAATAACTAAGACATACCGCAATTTTCACAGCCTGTTATTTGGCTCTTCAGGGTTTCTATATCTGCCCTATTCAGTTTTGGTAATTCATATATGTCTAGACAGTTATCCATTCCAGCATCTCCAATTTATTGAGAGCATGTTTACTGGAGTACATGTGTTTGAGCAGTTACTAATGATCTAGATTTTGGTACAGTCCTTTTAAATTTCTAATTGCAATGATATGGATCGTATCTTTCCTCTTTTGGGTAAGTTTGAATAAAAATTTGTCAACTTTATTCTTTCAGAGAACCATCTCTGAGTCAATGATTCTTTGTGCTGTTTTTTAAAATCTCAATTTCACTAATTTCTGCTCTGATTTTTATAATTTCTTTTCTTGTACTAGTTTTGGATTTGAATTGTTTCCTTGAGGTACATTCTTAGGTTATTTATTTGGGTTAACTTTGTTTTTCTGATGTAAGCATTCACAGCTATAAACTTCCCTCTTAGGACTGCTTTCATTGTGTCCAATAAGTTCTGGTATGGTGTACTGGCATATCATTTAATTCTAGAAACTATCTGATTTCTTCTGTGACCTATTGATAATCAAGAGGGAATTATTTAGGCACAGAGCTCAGTGGCACAGCACCTGCCTGGCAAGAGCAAGATCTGAGTTCCCATATAAGCCTCCAAGCTGGTATTCCTATCCCCATGATCTACTCAACTGCCTGTTTGTGAGCAGAGACTTGGCCCAGCTGGATGGACCTCTGGGCCTGCCATCCAGCTGGAAGTTGCACTCTGGGCATCGATAACTATAGACCCTTTACCTAGTCCCAAGATCTGACCCCTGTAGTTAATTTCAGAAAGGGAGGGTACAGTGTGACCAGCCCAGCACTCAGTTCTCTGCAGTTTGTTAACAAGAGTAATGTTAATGACACACAGACAAGTCAGATATTGGCATGCAGTAAAAATCAGTATCATCAACAGCAATAAACATTGGCAATAACAAAGAAGTCAGCAAAACAAGAGCCAAAGACAAACTAGAGAGTCAAATAAGAAGCTGTAAAAGCTACCAGGGTAACACTCTTAACAATTAAAGAGATCTGTAATAATCATATATCCACAGACAAATCAAATATTGACATACAGTAAATATCCAATAATGTAGCAATGATACCATTAACAACAGTAGCATAAATTATATATCTATACATTAATAAAGCTCATTAGAAATCCTATAAAATGGAGTGGGTAGAGAAGGAAGAATGTAAGAAGGACAATTAGAAAAATAAAAAAAAGAAATGGAAGAGAGAAAAAGGACCTAATTAAAGAGTAAAATTAATGGAATTAGATAAAACTAACAGAAAAGAACAAACAAAAATAAAAACTTCTTTAAAAAAGGGAGTACAACAAAGAACAAAAGAAAGGAAGAAAAAGAAAACCCAACTACAGAAAAAAAGAGAAATGAGTCCAAATCATTCTTCCACGTGTTTCAATGAGTTCCCCACCAAGGACCTCCAGGATTGGAATCCACTGGATATAAGGGATGGATAGAGAGTTGCTATTAATTCCTGTAATAAAATCAACATGGTACTGGAATAAAAATAGATCTGAAGATCAATTGGATAGACTAGAAGATACAACTACAACTATCAACACTCTCAACCACCTTATCTTGGATAAAGGGGCCAAACATGTTCACTGGAAAAATGACAGTCTCTTTAATAAATGGTGCTGGAAAAAGTGGCTCTCCATATGCCGAAAACTAAAACTAGACCAATTCCTATCACCATGTACTAAACTAAAATCTAAATGGATCAAAGATCTGAATATTAAAACAGAAACACTAAATCCGTTGGAAGACAAAAGTAGGTAAACATCTTGAAGACACAGGGGTAGGTAGAGAATTCATGAATAGGAATCAAACCACATAGGAACTACTTCCCAGAATCAATAACTGGGATCACATTTTATTAAAAAGTTTCTGCATGTCAAAAGAAATTACCAGCATAGTAAAAAGAAAACCCACAAACTGGGAAAAAAGTCTTAGTGAACTGTCCTTCAGACAAAGGTCTTCTGTCTAAAACATATAAAGAATTTTTAAAAATCAGATCCCCAAAACTCAAGGACCCAACCCAAAAACTGTGAATACATAGTTCTCAGATGAAGAAATACAAATGGCAAATAAATACATGAAAAAAATGTTCATTATCATTAGTCATTAGAGAAATGCAAATTAAAACAACACTGAGATTCCATCTCACTCCAGAAAGAATGGCCAGGATCAAGAAAACTACCAACAACAAATGCTGGAGAGGCTGTGGGGAAAAGGAATTCTCCTGCATTGTTGGTGGGAGTGTAGACTGGTGCAACCACTGTGGAGATTCCTCAAAAAGCTGGGATTGGAGGTTCCATTTGACCCAGCTATTCCACTTCTGGGCATATGCCCAGAAGAACTGAAAACATCATACCACAGTGATAAATGTGCACCCATGTTTATAGCAGCACAATTTGTAATAGCCAGATCTTGGAAACAACCTAAGTGTCCATCAACTGAGGAATGGATAAAAAAAGTTGTGGTATTTTTACACAATGGAGTATTACTCAGCTATAAATAATGATCACATTGAGATATTTACTAATCAATGGGCATAACTTGAGACCATACTCATCAGCAAAATAAATCAAACATACATGTATAAATACCGTATAGTCTCATTACATTGTTTTGAAGGCTTATAATGATCGCAGTTGTAATGGGTTTGTCCTGGGTTTTTTTATTTATTATCTGTGATGATATGAACAGCTAATTTGAGGGAAACAAGTCATTATAATATCCAGTACTGAATATAATATCACCTTACTCTGAAGTCCTACCATGCTCTTGCTCTTCTGTTTCCATTGGCTCTATCATGTTGTACCTTATTGGATTGTATTACATGTGAAAGTATAAACAAATTTTCTATGGAAAATGAGATAATATAGTAGCCATTGTTTGTTTTCTGTTATTTGGTTCTGTATGCCCTGTAATACTCTCATTCTCCTGAACGTTTTTATACTATTTTGTTACATTTGATACTATTGTATATGAAGTTATACTCAACTATTTCAAAGAAAGAGACATCATAGTAGTTACTATTATGGGTTGTCTTCTGGTGAAATACTGTGTTGATTACATTGTTCTCTTCTGCTTTGTTATGTCCTGTTTTGTCTTAATCTTTTTAAAATAAAAAGATTTACAACACCTGATCAAAAAATAAGGTGAATGTTGACTTTTTTTTTAAAAAAAAACTTAGTAAATGACACATTGTTGCTAATTCTTCTGGAATACTCTTTTCTCACTTTGAACAAAGCATCTCATCATTCTTTCTATTTTCTGAACCAGTTTTGGAAATCCTTCAGGTTTTTATTTACATTTTCATGACTGCCACAGTGTCCTAAATTGATTTAAACCATTTTGCCTTTCCTGGTCATTTTGGCCTTAGGAAAGAATCAGAAGTAGCATGGTGTGGCATCCAGTGACTGAGGGGG